TTACTGGAAACGAAGTATTTCGTTTTACATACATCTGCATTCGTTTTCTATCAGGTGGCTTGTACGCTCGTTTGTCACTCTTATTCTATAAAAAAGCTCAGGGATAAAGAAATGCTGTACATTAAATATCAACAGTATAATAAGATAACACAATCTTGGGTCAAAGTTGTCATTTATCGTGAGGCCATGTTTATTGCGAATTATAACTTATCAGTTAGTTAGCGACAACAATGATACAATTATTCTTCTTTAAACGGAAAATGTAACTCTTCGGACGTCTCCTTGGATACTTAATATAATAATGTATCATTGCAGTTGATACTAGATAACTTACTTAGTTGTTAGCGGCTGCTAGTTGTGAAAGCCAATGAGAATTTTTTTATTTTGCATAAAAATCGAAATTACTTATTGTTAATTATGATTTTATTATTATAAAGAATAACATTTTGATAAGATAGTTTCGTTATCATGATTATTTAGATTGCCTTTTTATTTAAAAAGCAATTACTTTTATTTTTTTAGTATGCATGTTATGTATGTTTCTTCTGTTGCGGCTCTACTCATAGCTCTCGCCACAGTACCAAAGTTAGCTGGCAGAGAATGCTTTTTCGGCATTAATTAAAGAAATTGACAGAATGGAGCATAAAAAAGTTACTAGTATATACACTCGATTGTTTTACGTTTCCGTAACTTATAAGGACAAATAAAAAAGAAAGGTTTATAGAAACTTTGTTGTTCTTTCGTCCATCTGTCATGAACTTTTGTTCTTAGGAACTGATAGAGGTATCAAGTTGGAATCAATATTAAAAACTAAGTCAACGCAATGAAAACAGTATACAGTCATTTATGTCACATACATTGGATGACAAGTGGATGAGTGTGTGTATTTATGATGCGAGTTCAATAGGGATGGCAGACATGATAATGATTTAGAAAAAAAGACTGATTGCAGGATATAGAGTAAATGGGGTTCTATATTCTACTGTGGAAAGTCAGAATGTGTCAAAACAGGCACACATGTTAGTTGACAATGCTGTGATAGAGTTTCTACCTTAACGTATGGTAGTTAAGGTTAGGTATGACATCAGAAGTATGAAAGTAAAATTAAAGTAATTAATGTAAGTAGTAAAATTGTGAATATAATGAAAAACTGTATAAACAGAGAAAAGTGTAATTTGCAAGATGTAGTGTTCAAGATTATGAAAGGAATACTTCGTTGGTTTTAACACATAGAAAGATTGATGAGTAAAGTGTGACAAAGCAAATAAATGTTGAGCTGCAAGATGAATGCAGAAGTGAATGATCAGAGTCGGAAACATGGAAGTTTATCTACTATATTGGCGATATATTGAGGATAGGCCAAATTAAATGTATATAGCAAGACGGTTATCAATTTGACAATATTTTTTTTATAAAGCTGAAGTGACAAACGAGCTTACAGTTCACTTGATGGTAAGTGGCAACTGCTGTCCATTGACACATGCAGCTAACTTCAAACAAAGGAAGCAACAAATGCATTGTTACCCTTTAGGACTAATATACCATGCATTACAACCTGTACAAAATTTGCATAAAATTTACACAGCCGTCACAGCCGGGGTTCGCTCCATTGTTCGGAGGGCGGTTAGACAACTCACCCATGTCATGTTGCGGTTTTCGGTGACATCAAAGGAGTATTTGATGATGATGTGATCACTGAACACGATAGTATCCTACCCCCATATAGTCGATTTTAGTGTAGCGTCGCGTTTGCAACGTTGCACTAAAATAGACAATCTCCACTCTTTTTTATAGCTCGCGGCCTGAAAGCCCCGAGTCCTATGATGCTGTAAGAGCCGCATAGGATAACAGCACTAACATCACAGAAACCGGAGTGTACGAAATTTGGCCTCTATATCCTTTAGATGGTAACACAGTGTTGCAAGTACTGCCATCTATATTATCTAGTAAATTAGAATTGTCTTGTTAAAAGACTTCAAAAAGGTGGAGGTTCCCAATATCTTTGCAGATTGTGAACCGATTTTAAAGATTATTTTTTTTGTTAAATAGGCTTTATCTCAAGGTTGGTTTCATTAAATTTTGAAGAAAAAATTACGACTCAAAGGGTGAAAGAGGGTAAATGTTTCATATTGAGATATTGTTTAAGTAATTTCATATATCTTCGCAGATTGAAAACTAATTTTGTTGACTCTTTTTTATTTAATAGGTCATTATTAAATAATATAAATATTAAATTTATTTAATAGACCATTCAAGGATGGTCCCTTATAATTTTGGAGAAAAAAATCCACCACTAAGATTAGCAAATAAATAACTTCTTTTTTAGCCATTTTGTAGTCGGTTCTTACTCTTTGTTAAAAGTTATAATTATTTACTGTGGGTTAGCTAAGCGATTTTGCTGGCCATTACAGTAAGAAGTAAGAGTATACTTTCACAGTGGTCTCTTAGAAAACCAGATCGTTAAGTGAAGGGCTGGGAAACATAGGTTCATAGAGTCAAGTGAAACTGCAGGCTACATTAACGTAAAGCATTTCCTCAAACTTAAGGGGTAAGCGCTTGACCTAAAATATCATAGTGGCTTGGCGACTGCACGATAGAGAAATAAAAAAAAATTCGAAGTCCGCCAGCACATATTTTGGCTTTACAGCAGACTTTTACCTTTAAGGTCATTCTGAATTTAGAGCGTGGGGAGTAGGACTATATAGTAATTTAAGATTTTAGTTTTGGTTTTCAATAAGGTAATATCTATTCTATATTTTAATATCAAGTTAATAAATGAACAATTTCTTCTTTTATACTAAAAGGGTGACGAACGAGCATACAGGCCACCTGATGGTAAATGTACGCGGTGACTCTTAGAGATCTACATTTATCCTCGATGAAGAATCATAATTTTTTTATAGGATAAGGTGACAAACGAGCACACACTCCACCTGATGGTAAGTGGTTGCTGTGACCCATAAACATCTACATATATTTTATTTTATATTATCATTTATTTGCGAATAAAAATGCAACTGTGTTGTCACCCGTGAGGACTAAGATGGAATGCCTTGTTTCCAGTAAAAAGGGTCTCCAGTTCTCTACACTCACCATACGAAACACAGCAGCATTAATCTGCTATTTTACGCTGGTATTCTGTGAGAGCGTGGTCCTTCCCCGGTCGAGCCGACCCATTCGTGCTACAACTACACTACTAATATAGCTGTAGCATGGCTCTACCACGTATAAAAATAATTAATTTTAATAATTAAAAATAAATGCAGGTGCGTTGTCGCCCCTGAGGATTAAGATAGAATGCCTCGTTGCCAGTAGAAGAGTCTCTGGTTCTCGACACTCACCATACAAGCCACAGCAGCATGAAGATGAAGTTACTTTACGCTGGAGAGAGCATGGTGGTCCTGGCCCGCTGGAGCAGGCACATTCGCGTTACAATCATAATATAGTTGCAGCGTCACTCTGATATTTATAAAGAGTGTTTACCGTATATACCTACATCCTCCATGATATGTTGAATTGGCGGAAGAGATATTGAATCAGATTGTTACTTGTGATGAAAGTGGATTCTATATGGAAACAGGAAACGTTCATCGCAATGTTTTTATCACGGAGATGAATGGATCAAGTCATAAGAAACTTATATGATGTACTCGTATTGTCATTATTCGTTACTTCATATGATCTAACGCAAAGACAAATGCAGAGTTATATTTTCAAGAATTTGAATTTCTGATGACTATGCTCGTTCTCTATACAGTATATCTAACACGCATGATATTTTTTATTTTAATATATTAAATTACATATTCTCAAAAAAACCGGCCAAGTGTGAGTTGGACTCGCTCACCGAGGGTTCCGAACAAATCCGTAGGTATATAAGTTTAAAATTATTAAAATATTTTTATTATATTATTTCGCAATGTTTCCTTTATCTGTGCTATAATACGTTGCTTCGTACCAAATTTCAAGATTCTGAGTTCAAGGGAAGTACCCTGTAGGTTTTGATTCCCTTGCGAATGTCGAAAATTTGCGGCATAAACGGCTGTATCTTTTGATGGCGTTGGTTTAGACGTTTGATTTTTTCACAGCTCCAAGAGACAGTAGACTTGAGTATTTGATACCTCCACGCGTTCCTGAGAAAAAGGGTCTTGACAGACAGACAGACGGACAACAAAGTGATCCTATATGGGTTCCGTTTTTTCCTTTTGAGGTACGGAACCATAAAAAGTAAAAAAAGTACTGCAGTAAAGAAAAACATCGTGAGAAATTACACATTTAGGCAACGTGGGGATTTCTTGCTGTAAAACCTATGAAATGAGAGAGTGTATGTAAGCCCACCTGTGGGATATATGATGGTTGTTCTTTTTGTAATTTAAGTTTAAAAGGATAGGCTATATAGGGAATAAAATTTTATATTTAATTCTAGATTAATGTACTAGATATAATTCGTCATCGAGGATAATTTGTTTTTAATGGTTTTAATCTGGTTTTTTAATAATTTTAATTTAATATAACCAATTTTATTTTAATTTAATTCATATCAAATTCAAAATTTAAATTTCATTTCGAATGTACTACCGTAACTATGATCTGATGGATTGAAATAAATGATTATTATTATTTTTATTAAATATGACAATATAATTTTAAATTGTTTTGTTTTTATAGAATATTTTAAAGTATTTAATAAAATTTATGACTAACAATATCTCATATTTACAAGTACTACACACAAAGAATTAAAACCAATTTTATTGAAAATACATCGCGTTTAATTTTAAATAATTAATTGTATATTTCACCACGTTTCCTTTGTTTTGAAAGCACATTATGTGTTCAGTAAAATTATTTTTTTTATTTATTTAAAAATTCCTGTACAAAAACAAAAATAATGTATAATAACGATTAAATGTTTTATAAAAAAAGAAGTTTTTATATTATTTTAATAGAATTCCATCTCGAGCTTTTTTTTTAAGTTAATAAGAAATTAATAAACTTACCGGTGTATGCGGGTTTCCATAAAACGGCAAGTATTAGAAAAGCACTAAGTGTTGTGAAACTTATTCTAGGTGTCCCCATTTTGAGGGGTTTGTTTTAGCACTTAATTCTTTATCAGTCGTAACTTAATCTAACAATACTATAAGACTTGTTGCTCCCACCTCGACTGGAAGGCAAATGCAGGAGAGCTCGCACAACTACGCTTTTTATAGATGCAATAAAACAAAACGACCAATCGGAGGGCTTCAAATTAAATTTGAATTATGAATTTTAATAAGCATGTTTACACGCTGATAATGACCACTTAGCTATGTGACAAAGGTCGTTGTAGGGTTGCAGTTATTGTAGAGAATAGAGTCAAAACAATTCCACTAATACTGTCACCCACCAAAAGATTACGTGAATAGGCTTAAATGTTACTACGTAGTTGTTTATTATCCTACTAAAATAAACAGTTATATTTACATACATAGCATAAACACTCACGCCTTTCACCCAGAGGGGTAAACAGAGACTATGGACTTCCATTTGGCACGATCCTGACACACCTCTCTCGCTTCCTCCACATCCATATACCTACGCATACATGCTCGTCGTTTAAATGTACTCTTGATTTGGCCCATTTTCAATATATCGCCAACTTGGTTGATAAACTTTCGCCTAGGGCGTCCCTTCGTGACTCTGCCGTTCACCTCTGCAACATAAATTTGCTTTGTCACTCTTTCCTCATTCATTCTTTCTACATGACCAAACCACCGAAGTATTCCTTTCTTAATCCTGGTCACAAAATCATCTTGCAAACCACACTCTTCTCTTATCACACAATTTCTCACTCAGTCATTTAGATTCATCCCTAACTTACTCCTTAATGACCGCATTTCTACAGCATTTATTCTCCTCTCGTGCTTCTTCTGCCACACCCAACTTTCACTACCATACATTAAAGTAGGGACTGACACAGCATAGTGAATTGCCTTTTTGGACACATTCTGACTTCTCACAATAGGGTGTAGAGACCCATTCACTCTATTTCCTGCATTCACTTGTTTGCATTCACAAGATGGAATGTCTCCTTTCTAGTAAAAAGGGTCTCCGGTTCTCTACACTCACCATACGAAACACAGCAGCGTTAAGCTGATATTTTTCGCTGGTATTCTGTGAGAGCGTGGTCCTTCCCCGGTCGAGCTGACCCATTCGTGCTATAGTTATATTTAATTTAATTTATTAATATTTTTGCTATTACATTTGTGTTATAACATTCATTACATGATATTTTAAAATATGATCTTTTGACCCTGTTATAAGATAAGACATATAATAACGTTACTATTATGTTGCAAGGTTTGGATGAAATCTCGATTTTGATAAATCCGAATTATGACAAAATAGAGCCTTGATTCATTATAATCTCCAGTAGATCTAGGATTTTAATCAGAAACCTGGATTTGTGTGGGATAAAGATGAAATTTCTTTATATAACATTTTACAGTATGATAATAATCAAATGGTTTTGTTAAAACTGTTTCCGATTTTCTACAAAATAAGGATTTATTTATAAAATAAGACTGACAAGTGAGTACAGTCTACCAGATGTTAAGTGGACGATTTGGCCCTTAGACATCTACATATTATCTATTAAGAATCGAAACACGTTAAGACACCCTGAGGGCTAAGATGTAATACCTGGTTTCACGTGAAAACGGTGTTCGATTTTCTACACACACCATACGAATCAGAGCAGTATTAAGCTGATATTACCATAATATAGCTACAGCGTGGCTCTACCAAGAGAAAACGGATTAAAAAATAAATAAAAATACCAACAAAACAAACTACTATAAGTGCTAATTTATAAAAAAATATGGATGTTTAATCTTAAGCTACTGTCGTTGATATAACTTTTTTTGCCTGTTATTTGATGTTTATTTCATGTCAATCATACACAAATCCAGAGTTTCAATCAAAATACTGGATCTACTTGAAGTTATGATGAAGTCCTCGTCTTTTCATATTCCTGCTTTAGATCTAAATCCCAGTATTTCGATTCAAATCCTGGTTTTATCCAAAGCCTCCGACGAAATAACAAGAACCGCAAAATCTGTGATTATTTGGAACCATAATTATTAATCACAGTTACCCTTGCTTATGTGAGACTTATCTATATAGATATTTATATATAATTACATATAAATAAAATTTAAGAGACTCTCTGTAATATCGACATAACTGATTTCTTTTAAGTTCATTGGGGGTTATTGAGGAGTTGGTTGAATTTTTGGATGATACTCGTAATAATCCCTGCGAATGACGTAATCGTTATCAGTTATTTCTAATTTGTTTTGTGTTGTTAAGTGTAACGTTTTTTTTTTTGCACTTTTTATAAACCAGCGATTGACCAGAAGTGGTGTTGTGTCCTATACGATTGTAAGCTTTTCCTTTACCTAAAAATAAAATGTCCCGCTGGGTTTCTGACTGGTTCTTTCCAGGGCAGGGGTATTTCTCGAACCAGGAGTAAATTAAACATAAGTATGTCATTTAGTAATTATTATTACTAATCTATATTGAATAAAAAGGTTTTATATGCTATAAAGATATAAATACACACATACGTAAATAAACACTCACGCCTGTCACCCAGAGGTGTAGGCAGAGATTACGGACTTCCATTTGGTACAATCTGGCACACCTCTCTCGCCTCCTCCACATCCATATACCTACGCAAACATTCTCGTCGGTTAAGGCTACTCTTAATTTTGCTCATTTTCAATATATCGCCAATTTGGTCAATAAACTTTCGCCTAGAGCGTCCCTTCCCGACTATGCCGTTTACTTTTGCAACACAAATTCGCTTTTTCACTCTTGCTTCATTCATTCTTTCTACATGACAAAACCACTGAAGGATTCCTTTCTTAATCCTAGTCACGATATCATCTTGCAAATAACACTCTTCTCTCTCTCTCTCTCTTCTTCTCATCTCACCTTGTCAGCTTCAGCTCGAACATACTCCATAATGACCGCATTCCTACAGCATTTATTCTACTATAGAATATAAATACATTTAATTTAAACAAAGTCTTTTTTTTTTAAGGACAGGGTGACAAACGAGTATACAGTCCATCTGATGGTAAGTGGTTGCTGTGACCTATAGACATCTACATCTATCCTCAATAAACAATCAAAATGCAGATGCGTTGGTTCTCTACACTTACCATACGAAACACAGGAGCGTTATGTTTCTATTTTACGCTGGTATTCTGTGAGAGCATGGTCCTTCCCCGGTCGAGCCGACCCATTCGTGCTACAACTATACTACTAATATAGCTGCAGCTTGCCTCTACTACGTTTAAAATATCTGTCTATCTGTTTGTCAGCGCTAATCTTCGGGATGGTTAAACCAAATGTAATTCAATTTAGTAAATTCCAGGAAAAACACGATGTAGGATTTTTTTGGAATCAAAAAGTGATAAAAATGGCTTTCGATGACACTCATAAACAATTAGTAAAAAAAAAATTAAAATAAAGATTTCGTACAACCGACTTCAAAATAAATTATTAAGAATAACTCAAAAACTATTGGTCAGATCTTGATCAAATTTATATGGGACCACATGTGAAGCACCAGCTTTCAAATAAAAAAGAACCATCGCAATTGGTTCACCCAGAAAGAAGTTATGAGGTAACAAATATAAAAAAAACTTACAGTTGAATTGAGTACCGGGTCCTTTTTGAAGTCGGTAGAAAAAGAGTCAGCGAAATCGGTTCACCCAGTAAAAGGTTATGAGGTAACACACATAAAAAAACATACAGTCGAATTGAGTACCGTCTCCTTTTTGAAGTCGGCAGAAAAAAGATTTTGACGGCTCCCTTGGGCAGTGGCTTAGCAATGAGTTGCTGCAGGTTTGAATCCCGCACGGAACAAGTATTTGTATGACCTACGAATAATTGTTCTGGGTCTGGATGTTTCATCATCATCATCATCATCATTACAGCCCTTCACAAGTCCACTGCTGAACATAGGCCTCCCCCAAAGAATGCCACAAAGCACGGTCCTGAGCCACCTGCATCCATCGACTTCCTGCATATCTTACCAGGTCGTCACTCCATCTAGTGGGGGGACGCCCTACACTTCGCCTGCCGGTACGAGGCTGCCACTCGAGAACCTTTCTTCCCCATCGGTTGTCGGTTCTTCGAGCTATATGGCCGGCCCATTGCCACTTCAGCTTACTAATCCGTTGGGCTATGTCGGTCACTCTAGTTCTACTGCGGATATCCTCATTTCTGAGTTTATCACGCAGAGAAACTCCGAGCATAGCCCTCTCCATAGCTCGCTGAGCGACCTTGAGCTTCCTCATCCGGCCAGCAGTGAAGGACCACGTCTCAGTTCCGTATGTCATCACTGGCAACACGCACTGGGTGTACAGTCTCGTTTTCAAGTTTTGAGGTATACCTGACGAGAAGATGTGCCGTAATTTCCCGAACATCCGAGAATCCGTCGATTGACCTCTCGGTCGAAGTTGGACTTACCTAGTCGGACTATTTGTCCCAGGTAAACATACTCGTCAACAACTTCGAGCTTAGTGTTCCCAACAACTACCGGCATAGGTGTGACATGGACATTAAACATGATCTTTGTTTTGTCCATGTTCATCTTAAGACCTATCCGTTGGGAAACACTATTGAGGTCATTGAGCATAGTGCTTAGGTCCTCCAGCGATTCTGCCATAACGACTATATCGTCGGCAAATCGAAGGTGAGTGATGTACTCGCCATTGATGTTGATACCGTATCCTTTCCAGTCCAGAAGCTTGAAAACATCTTCCAATGCAGCGGTAAAGAGTTTCGGGGATATGACGTCACCCTGTCTTACACCTCTCTGCAATTGGATAGGTTTCGTACTCTGGTTCTGTACTCGGATAGCCATCGTAGCCCTACTGTACAAGCACTTCAACACTTCGATATACCGACAGTCAACTTGGCATCGCTGAAGGGACTGCAGCACCGCCCAAATTTCGACGGAATCAAAGGCTTTCTCATAGTCCACATACGCCAGACATAGTGGCAAATTGTACTCCTCGGACTTC